CCGTGCAAGTCGCATCGCGCTTGCAAACCCTACATCCTAAACCCTAAACCCTAAATCCTAAACCTTAAACCCTAAACCCAGAAACCTGAAACCTTAAAAACTTCTTCCTTGAGTTGTGCCAAGGAACTGCAACTGGTAGGGGCTCAGGTGCTGGAGCAGCGGCTTGACCAAACTGCCAGGTTCAAGGCAGGTGAGGTTATAGACCCCCTTAAGTAGATAGAATATAGGTGCTATTTTGGGGTATATGAGGATTGTCTAAGGATTATATCAGGATTAGGTAGGGCAGATAGAATATGGAGCATACGGGGATCTTGTTATGATATTGGGCAATTCCATGTACTTCCTATTTAAGGGCGACTACATGCAGAGGTCAGAAAGCTGCTGGCGACTGATGCCTGGCCAAACATGACAAGAGCTCGTCGTTCTTGTGACCTCAGATAAGCGCAGGTAACAATTGCAATCACAGAGCAGGCACTCTGCAGCATACCACGCCGTTGGGACTCTTTTCTCAAAATCAGGGTACTGGAGTGTGTCGGCAAAAACTGCACCCCGCCGCCCCTTTCAACTCAAAAGGGAGTTGACTGACGGTAGTTGAGACATCTCGGATCACCCAGACTGAGTCACCTGCCAAGCAAACCCAGTCCCCAGCAGATCACTGAAATTGTCCAAGCCATATGGAGGCCTTGGTCCTGAGCATATGGGGGCTTCCCAAAATTAGGCATCCCTTGTTCAGGGTCCTCAGGATAAGGATTCTAGACTATGGGGTCTATACGGGGGTCCCAATCTCTGGAAACTACCACATGGCTTAGAGGCTAGGGTGCTGTGGTTGAGCTTTGGGGTTGAGAATCGAGCGTATCTCTGCCATGATCTCTTCCATGCAACATGCCAGGGTCTGCTTCATTTGCTTCTAGATCGCATATAAACCCTGAACCCCAAACCCTGAACCCCTAAACCCCTAAGCCCTAAACACCGTGCCTCGACTTTTACTTCAGGAGAGGAGTCCTGCCCAGGGGCGGCAGCTTGAATAGCGCAGAGTATATGAGATTTTCCCATAATTAGGGGTACCTGATAAGGACTGTAGTATTTGGGGGTCTGTATTGGGGTCCCTTTATTTAGGGAAATTACAATATCTTATAAGCGGCAAGGTATTCAGAGCTGCGTATCTCTGCGAATCTCCTGTGAAGAATCCCCTACAGATAAACCCCACACATTCCCTGCTTGATCCCTATGTGCATGTACATCTACATCTACAGCTGCATCTATGTTTACACATGTTTCTATATACATAAATATATATATATAAACAACAATGATAATATACGTCTATATGGGTGGTTGTCAAAATTATGGTCCCTTGTTGGATCCCTATTATAATACGGCACCTTATACAGGGTACCCAAAAAGGGACCATCATTTTGACAACCCCCAATATATATATATATATACATATCTCCATGGTCTTCAAGAGTCTACCCTACAGCGGGCAAAGGTGCTTGCCTCAGATTCGGCACCTTCTCCGGCAGCAGGGCCTGGAAGGGGCGACCACTTTAGACACTTCCGAGACTCTTAGGGTTTAGGGTTTAGGGTTTAGGGCTTAGGGGGGTTGCTATGGCTTGACTTCTCAATCTTTTCATAAAAAGACTTCCACGTCATGGGGATAGCCATAGGTAACGGCACTCAAGGATCACAGTGGTCTGCTGATGCTGCTATTTCGCCATGCGCGAGCCGAAGTGTACATCAGCCACTTCTGCTTCTGCCACCATGATCCTACACCCAATATACTATATAGTAGTTTCCATGTTCTTTTCCAGTATCCCTAATGATTGAAAAATAATAGTAGTAATCATAATAATAATATACAACTAATAATAGTAATAGTAATAGTAATAATATTAATACTGCCCCTTTGGCCTTCCAACCGCTGCTTCTCTCCCATCACAATGGTTTCGACCTTCTGCACTCTATGCTGGCTCTCATGGTGTGCAAAACCATCATGACTCGCACTATGGGTTTTCTCAAAACCGCTAGTTTGCAGTATTCTCAAAGCAGTCTGTGTTTTGGGTTGCAGGTAGAAGCAGCAGGTCATATGCCGCGTTTCCCTGACGCAAGTAGCCTGAGGATGGGGCATGCCGAATCAGATTCAGTAACTTTGGACACTGCCGCCTGGAACGGTCAACCTGCATTCAAAAAATAACTTCTCAGGAATTGGACTGGGTCTACCCTAAACCCTAAAACCCTAAACCTGGGTTTGGGCTTTAGGGTTCAGGCTTTAGGGTTTAGGGTTCTGCAGTTGACTAGCCTCTACCATCCTCGCCGCATGGATGAGGGCAAACGCCTGCAGTCAGTTGCGACTGTGTTTGCACTCTCCAGGATGTGACCGGCAATAGTTGGTAGTTTCCCAAAACAGGGGGACCCCAATATGGACCCTAAGATGCTATTATCCTACCAGGTAGACCCCCAAAAAGGTACCACCAATTTTGAGAAACCCTAAACCCTATATAACCCCTATATAACCCCATAATATCCCTATACAACCCCTATATAACCCCATAATATACCTATATAACCCCTATATAACCCCATAATATCCCTATATAACCCCTATATCCCCGGGAAAACCCCCAAAAAAAATTTGATGAGCCCCGAACCGCATTGATGCTGCTGAGCTCCGTGAGATGGGCATCCTAAAATCAGGTCGCGGCTTAGGGTTTAGGGTTTAGGGTTTAGGGTTTACGGTTTAGGGTTTAGGCTTTAGGGTGGTTTCCCAAAATTAGGGGTACCTTTAAAGGAGATATAGGGGTTGTATAGGGATAGTATAGGGCTATATAGGGGTTAGATAGGCTTTAAGATTTCCCAAGATTAGGGGTATCTTTTGGGGTGTCCTTATGATAAGGATTGTACTATTCTGGAGTCTATATTGGGGCCCTCCTGCTTTGGGACACGACCAGCTCTTCACCTTTGCTCGCCTTAGGCCATAGGCAAAGCTGCCTTTTTTCCCCTTCTTGGCTCCGCACTGTGACAGCAAGCAAGCTTTCAAGGTTGCCATTCTCAACGGCATGGGACAAGAGCTGGTACAACTCCTGGCAAAGGAGACCTTTGCTAACCCTGCAAATGAGGTGAAAACAACGGTACACAACTTGTGAAGCAATGTTTGCAGGCCATGTTCCCAAAGTACCTTTTGTACGTAGTTGTGTGGCAGGCATGATCAGCGGCAAAAACGCTGAAAGCCGGAAGCCCCTCCATTGTCCCAGTTAGTCCTGATCCTGCGGTTTTGGCGCCTCCACCTGCCAAACAGGAATTTATTCATGCTCGCTTGGGAAATGGGGAACGGTTATGTTGTGGGCCCCAACTGCTATAGGAGACAGTTCCCCGGTTCTCCACTGTGCATGAGCAAAATACCTGGCTTCGGCGCCTGCCCTCCGTCAACCTGACAGAGGCCTGCCAATAGGGGATTGTCCTAAATTACTGTCAATACGGGGTCCCATATTTAGGTTCCTGTTATAAAACGGGGCCCTATACAATTTTCCCCCATTTGCGGAACAGTAATTTAGGGAAACCCTAAACCCTAAACCCTAAATAGTAGTTTCCATTTTCTTTTCCATTATCCCTATATAACCCCTATATAACCCCATATAATCCTAAACCCCTTAAGAATCCCCTTGCTTTCCCTTGCAGCTGCCTGCCTCCAAGGCTTCTGCCGCACATTCAACAGACAGCTCGCCAATGTCTGCAATCTCCTAAAGCACAGGATGTGGGATTCTCCTACACCGTCTTGCAGCTGCTTAAACTACTATAGGGTTATATAGGGATTGTATAGGATGATATAGGGGTAATATTGGGGGGTTATTTTGGGAATAATGGAAAATAACATGGAAACTACTATATTGTATCTAATCAGCATTCTGGGTCCTCGGAGATGCCAGCATGGGTAGCATCCATGAGCACGTAGATCCTTTCGTGCTAGATACGGTAGTTTCCTTCAATAGGGGGACCCCAATATAGACCCCAAAATGAGATAATGCCAATAATAAGGACCCCCAAAAAGGTACCCCTAATTTTGGGAAACTTCCATACACATCGTGGACAGTCTTACGCAGTCTTCGGCCGAGCTAGTCTCAGCATCAGCCGTCCCTCTACTTGGAACAAGCAGCTGGCCTGCTTTGGCAACCTTAGGCCTGCAGCAGAATCCAGATGAAAACTCAAGGGAAGCACAACATGCAAGCACTTGTTTTTCGATGATGGTGCCGGAATCCCTGTTAGGGCCTCGGCAGCCTTAGTACATGTGCCAAAGACAAGTGCGTTCTGCCCTGGCTCACCCACTTCTCAAGGCGGAAGTCATCAGCATTGCATGCGAAGGCCAGCCTGGTGGGAAGGAAAAGTGTGAGGCATCACAGCCCCTAAAGCTCCAAACGGCTTGTTACCAGCCGGAGCACGAGAATCTAAACACTACGAAATAACAAGATGAAGCTGGAAGATGGCTGCGTACAAGAACGGCATGCAAAGAGAATAATTACACTATTCGGCACTGTTGAACATTTGCTTGCTGACACCCGGCCCTGCGTTGCTATTTCGCGCTGCCTCGCTGGCTGCTAAGAGGTACCAATTCTTCCTTTGGGCACCTGTTGCTCTCCAGCTGCAGGAGATGTGACAAGATATCTGGCTGTACCGCGCCGTACAGCTGCACTAACAGGGGCTACTCAAAGGAGAGAAGCACAAGCACGACTGTTGCTATAAGATCTTGCTGTCCCCTTCTCTCCATAGACGCCTGCCCCGAGAGACATTAACGCGGAGGCTGCCTGACTTTCAGCAGCCTATCCAGTAGAAGGTCTATAGTACATCTCCCGAAAAAGTCCAGGTATCTGACTAGTACATACTTGAACATCTGCTATGCTGTACTTTCACACTTTCGGTGATCCACAACCCATATTGAAGCCAGCGCTAGTGACCAGCGACTAGCTGCATGAAGCGTGTTCCAGAAAAAAATCCTCATGCCTTCGCAAGCGTCACACGCGAGCCAAGTCATCCTCTGGCAGCTGGCTCGTCCTGACGGCAAGTGCAGATCCTCTCGAGGATGTGTGTAAAATTATCATAGTAACTGGCTCAGTATATACCCCATTATAATACAGTTGTTTCCATTTTCTTTTCCATTATCCCTATGAAAACCCAATATAACCCTAATGTTACCCCATGATGTCCGTTGTTGGGTTGTCCGATGAAACTAGGGGAAGCCTGCCAGTTGCCGCTCCAGATGCCAACCCGCTGCCTGCAGCACCTGGCGAAGGGTCCAGCATGCAAGCCGGCATAACAGATGTAGCATATTAATATATATATATACACATATCAAAGTACATTAGAGAATGTTATAGAGCATTGTAATATATTATAGTATTTATAGTATATTATAGTATATTATAAAACATTATAATATATTATCGTATATTATAGTATTTTATAGAGTATTATAGTATAAAATAATACGCTAGGGTATGGCATAGAAACTGATAATATATGATAGTATAATAAGGTATATTATGGTATAGTATGGTGTATCATGAACTTTACAGGGTACATTCTGGTATATTATAATATAATAGGGTATTATGGTATGTTATCGAATAATATTCTATGTTATCAACAGGATTTTAGTATTTTGGGGTCTATATTGGGGTCTCCCTTTCTACAGAAACTACCACATCCATGCTTGTCAAGAAGAAGTTTGGAGAGTCATCCTGCTATCACCGGTGAGAGTCAGTAGGCAAGCGGCTTCCTCCTGCTTGCAAGATCTAAAAAGAGCACTTGGCAACTCCTGTCCACAGCTTCGCTTCCTAAAGCAAATGCAGCGTTTCTTGATTTGCGACCGCATCATCCTGGTAAAAAAAATCTCCGTGCACAACGTATCCAGTTGTGAGCGGTGTTCTTAGGTGGTAGAACTAAGTCTTCTCATAAGATGTCATACCCAAAAGAGAAACATGATCTTTCTTGAAATACGGTCCCGTGAAAATGCCACTCACATGTTACCCAGTCAAAACCACAGCAGCACTGTGCTGCTAGACACTGTGGCTGCACCGCTACCCCTACATACGCACACGGCAACACACTCCCGTTCTCTGACATCAGCCTTGACATGCCTACAATCTACAAGATCTCGCACGCATCACAGCTTAAACATGCCGACCTTTCTGTGCATAAGCTCGCCAGCCAGGCTTTCTGTGGCATCTTCTGACATCCACTGGCTGGGCGGCGGCAGTGGGCCAGCTGTCTGCGTGAGGGCACTAAATGGTATCTCGGGAGCTCTTGGTTCAGGCCTTTGTGGGCTCGGAGGGCTGGGTGGTTGGGGAGACCAAGAAAGGAAACCCTCCGTTGGTGGCAAAGGTCCTGCACCTAGCCCGGTTGGTCCACTGGTCTCAGGAAACGAAGCACTCGCATTTGCCAGGTCCAGCAACGCAGAAGCACCTGGCAAGGTGTGAAGTTGCATCGATCGTGGGCTTGGTTCCACGAAGCCGGTGCGTTCACGCGTCATTGCATCGAACGGAGCCGCAGCAGAAGGTACCAGCATGGACTTTTGAAGCATACCCAAGCTTTCCAGGTTTTGCTGGTGTCTCGCACGCAACTGCCGCAACTGCTCCTCCTCGCTTCCGGACAGAGAGCGAAGCTGGAGTTCTGTGTCAGAAAGCCTTGACACTGCTCGCAGCACCGTCTCGTTCACATCGTTCTTCACCCCAAGCTGCTCTCCAAGCGGCAGCGTAGCCAGACCCCCGAAGCTCCCCACACTGGGGACTGGGGGACTTGGGCTGTCCAATCGACTGGGAATTGAGCGACCTTCCCTTGGCTGTGCCGCAGGCGCAGCCCCGAGCGACGGCGGGCGTGGCATGCGTCCACTTTCCACGGCTTCGAAGCCAACTTGTGGGCCTCTGGACCTGCAATCACCAAACAAGACAACATCGAAGAGGCTAAAAAAAGATCAAAGGAAGGCTGCATGGCACCTTGGCGGAGCCGGCCTTGCTGTGTCCTGGGAAGGGCCACGAAGGGCCGACTGCTCTTGCCTGGAGTTCACATGCGAATCTCCACAGTGACCTCTCGGAGCTCACAAGGAAAACTCCGAGCCTCGGAGGGTCAGGTCGCATGGGCCAGAAGCAAATGTTTTCACGCTCTGCGACCTGGAATCAAGATACTTCTTGGATCCGATCAGGCACACCGCAGCCGGGCCCTGAATCTAATGCGCGCCTTTCCCATTTGCTCCGATGAGTCCCCACCAGGAGCACCTATCAGCAGGAGGGCTTGCAAACTTCTCCCTGCCTTGCAAGGCTGGTTCTTGCTCACTCCTGCCCTGCCTTGCAAGGCTAGTTCGCTGCCGCAAGCCACCTGCAAGTCCCAAAGGAAAACGATGTAGTCAAAGTGCCAGTGGCCTGCAGGACCATAGGATCAGGTGCACAAGCCTGATGCAATGTAAAATCTGCCGTGTCCTCCCGACCACTCAGATCTTTGGGATATCAGCTGCCACAAAGCTGCCGGTAGATCTGCGGCAAGTGCAAACGCAAAGCAAATTGCATGAGCCAGCCATGTCCAACCACTTCATGCCACATGAGCTATAGTCTAACTCCTAGTATCCCCCTTAATAACCCCTATAGTAGTCCCCTATATAATCCCCTATATAACCCCCCATTAAGGAGTTTAGACTATAGCTCACATGCACAACCCAAGCAAGCGCACCTGGCAATCCGGCTCGGTGCAGCTCACCCTGCAAGAGCAAGGCACAACATTTCCATGCGCATTGCTGTTGGTCTATGGACACTAGCTGAGGCAGAGCTGACACATCTAACAGCCCTTATTGCTGCTCCTTAGATAGCTACAGTCTCGGGTCTTTGAGGAGAGAAAGAGAAAGCTTGTGCAGGTTGCATGGCGGACATTGATTGGCCTGCAGCACAGCTTGGAAGGTTGCGAAGGACACCGCCTGGACAACAGCAGGGTCGGTTAAGAAGTTGGGGTTTCACTACTGCCAGCAAGTTGAACTGAATGAGGCTCGTGCACCGGAAGATCCCCGCATGCCATGACCTCCCCAGCTCATGAGCCGCGTAAACTAGAGCGGAAAAAGTGTTAAATGCCTGCATCTCCTTCCAGCTCCATCTGATGAAGACGCTGCAAGAGGCCTGAGGTGGCACACGTTTTTACTCGATATCTATTGGCTCTCACACAGCGGACACACCTCTCGAAATGGGAAGTACCCAGCGAGCAAGTCTTCGAAGAGCAATCCAAAGCAGCATCTGCCTCACAAGCGCCCATGCGGGTCCCCAAGCTTGCCTTCTGGCAAAAAAAACAAAGTCAAGAAGATGCTTCTGGTTGTTTGGTCTTTGCCATGGGCTCCTTGCGAGTGGCAACGCTACTGCAGCCATGAAATGTGCCTAAATCTTTCTGCAGGTCATGATTTACAATGGCAGCCCTCTCGTAAATCATAGTCTTCTTGCGTTGACGAGAGAGAGCCCCACAGCAGATTTTGTTGACGACGCGCAGCCTCGTGCCCAGATTGGCTTCCTTCAATGTTGAAAGAGTTGGGCCCAACTCACTAGAAAGACATCCTGAACATACTGCATGGTAGGAAAAAATTCTGCAATAGCAACTGATGCCTCCGGCTAGCTGAACATGCATCACAGACCAAATGCCTCAAGCTGTTACCAGCCACGTTGTCTATGGTCATTTGGAGGTTACCACTATCCGACTCTCCGACTGTTGATTGAAGAATCTCTGCACAACCCTATATGCCTGATTGCTCAGGCATAACGTCATCTTTTCGATCCTCAGTGATACTTTCCTCCATCCACCTTAGTTTCAGCTACTAGTAAGGAGAACGGAAGTTGCTGTGCTCGAAGCAGGCCTCAGAAGTTTGTTTGGATGAGGTTCTGAGACGGAAAAAATAAGCCCTCTCCACCAAAACACCTTGCAGGCGATTCTGTCTGCAACTGTGCCCTGAAACCCTGAAGAGCGTAATCTCCAAGAGCTCAGATTCAGATAGAGTGGCCAAGGCAAAAGTCCCATTTTCCTCTTTTTTTGGTGGTTCAGGCGTCTTGCCGGATTCAAAGGACGCGCACCAAGGTCTGTTGTTGTTTTTTTTTTTTTTGTGTGTGTGTGTGTGTTTGTTTTTTTTGT